GCTCATGGAAATGTGGGGAGATTACTGAGGTAATCCGTGCAAAACATCTGGGAGAATGTGTGCGCACAGAAGAGGCTCCCTGAGAACCCCGGGTGTTTCTTCTCAGGGAGGAACCCCATGGGCAATGTGGGGGGGGGAAAGGGGGGAAAGTCCCGGCCAAAAAACAGGCAAAAACCCAGGCTGAAGGAAGGTCTTGAAAACAGGGGGGGACACCCCTCTGGGCATCTTGCTCCTGCCATCCTCACCCTGGAGGGCTGCTCAGCCTCCGAAGCAGGCTCCAGGTGGAAGACTCAGGTGGCTCACTGTGCCACCCCACCCTCTGGCCAGAGAGAGAGCAAGGCAGCTGCCACCCGCTCGCTGGCCTAGGGCATATGCCCTGCTCCCTCCTTCCTACCCCCCACCCTCCCCTCGGCCCTGGGAAAGGAGTGTGTGCTGCAGAGGGGCCTCGTTTCTCCCAGGATTGCCCTCCTGTGTCCCAGCCCATCCCCATCCCCATCTCCCCCGCCCCCAGCAGTCAGCCCAGAAGCTGGCATACCTGAGGCTAAACTGTCCCCTGTGCTCTGATCCCCACAGGCTTGGGCGGGATGAGCAGCAAGCGAATCACCATCAACAAGATTCTGTCCAATGAGAGCCTGGTGCAGGAGAACCAGTACTTCCAGGTGCGGGCGGGGCAGGGGCCCAGCTGCTGCTGGGTGGGGTGGGGCAGAGGGTCCCTGGGACTGTGCCCAAGGTCACCTCTCACATCCTCAGGGCCTCCATAGGGAGTGGCCAAGGGTTCAGGGCACATGACAGACGGAAAAGCTTCAGTGAGCATTGGTTCAGCATCCCCGCTCAACCCCTGTGCTACAGCCGGGAGCTAAAGGGTGACAGGACGTGCGTCCGCAGGGGCCGGAAGCAGATAAGGGACCTGGGAAGGTAGGCATACCAGCCAGTGCTGAAGAGCCCAAACTCTGTACAGCTGGAGAGCCCATAGCATTTGGGGGAGATGCACCCCTTTAAAATATGGTGGAAACGCCAGACCTGCTCTCCAGAAAAATGCATATATGAGTATATGCCAGTGATGGCGAACCTTTTGAGCTCGGCGTGTCAGCATTTTGAAAAACCCTAACTTAACTCTGGTGCCATATCACATGTAGAAATTTTTTGATATTTGCAACCATAGTAAAACAAAGACTTATATTTTTGATATTTATTTTATATATTTAAATGCCATTTAACAAAGAAAAATCAACCAAAAATATGAGTTCGCGTGTCACCTCTGACACGCGTGTCATAGGTTCGCCATCACTGGTATATGCCCTGAATTTAGCAAGATGAAGTGGATCCCTGGGTGAGGAACAGATAGTCACAAGTACTAGTATGTAATGCTACCAGGTATGGGGCATCGCTTTACATGCGTGACCAGGTCAGGACAGCAGCCTGTCCTGGGAACCAGCACTTCGTGGGAGGCAGGGAAGGGGTGCTGACTTATGTCAGAATGAACAGCAGTTATGATCCATCTCTACGGGGGTTTGCAGTAAGCCATCTTCGCTCTGGCCTGAGTCCAGCTCATGAGTCCAGCAGCAGTTACATCATGGAACAGTCTCTCTTCCATAAGTACCAAGTTTACACACACACACACACACACACACACACACACACGATTTAAACAAAAACACATGATTGGCTCATATAAGTGGGAAGTCCCGTAGTGGAGTGGATTTCAGGCACAGGTTGATCAGGACTCCAGCTCCATTTACCTGCACTTCTTGGGTCTGCAGGTGCCCTCGTGGGTGGGAGCATAGCTGCAACAGTCCTCACATCCACCCAGACACCATCCATAAAGACAGAGGTCTATATGCCCCCAACAATGAAACAAAATGCCTTCAACCTGATTTACTGTCCATCCCCGAACCCGTCCCTGGGGCAAGGCGGTAGGGGCGAGAGTCCACTAATTAGCTCTCACCAGGAAGTGAGTGTGTGGTCAATCCAAGGCAACCTTGCAGGGGAGGGGGTGGAGTGGATGCTGGGAAGCAAAATCCACGAAACCCAAGCCACATTCACAAACCCCTCGGTGGCTATTTGAAAGTTGACTTTATCATAATATCTGCTTTCTGGTCATTTTTTGGCATCCGATAGATCTAAGGTGAATTCTGGGGTGAATTATGAGGTGAAATCATGCCCCTCCCCACTTTTGGCTGTAGGACCTGGGGCACCTCACTAAGAACGCCATGTCTTCAGTCCCCTCAACTGGGGCTCACCTCCCTCAGGGTTCCAGGTGGCGACCCCAGTATTCATTCCTCACCAGCCTCTCCCACACCCCCTTGGCTTTCTCCCTACCTTGGCCTCCCCCTTCCCCGAGGGTCCAAAATGCCGTTAGAACCTTCCCTGGAAGCAGATTCTAGCCGAGCAGCCTTCTCCACCCCCCAGAGGCTCCTTCTGCCTCGCCTTTCTCCTGGACACAGGTTCTCCCAGATGCTTGGGGCTTCTCCCCAGACAGGCCTCCTTGTGGCCGGAGAGTTCAGTGTGTCCAAGGCCCTGGGGTCCGCCACACCCACCTTCTCTTGCCCTGTTCTCAATTCTAGGGCCATCCTTATTCTCACCTCCTGGGGTGGCCTGAAGAGTCCACGAGAGACTGTGTAGCAAGCCCTTAGCACTGGGTCTGGCTCATTTACTGAGCCCTTCCTGGTATGACTGCTGTGATCTCCCACTCTGTTACTGCTGATCCCGAGCCCTGGCGAGGGCACTGGAGAGGGCAGGGATGCGAAGTGAGCCTGGAAGGCTCCCTGAAGTGCTGGGCCCTGGGTCTGATGCTGCAGACAAGAGTGGAGTTGACAAAGGTGGGGACACCAGAAAAGCCAGCGCTCCTGTACCTGTCCCTACCAGAACCAATAAGAGACAAGGATTGAGTCTTTATGGGGCCTTTACTCACATAGCTGGCCATCGGAGAAGACGGCGGGTTACGTACCCTAAAGACCGTCTTACATCTCATCTCAAGCCGGTCCTTTTCATAGGTGAAGGGGTTTGGAATTCAGGGGGAAACGTAGATCAGATAAATGCTGCAGTCTAGTGATCTGAGCATCCCCTGAGCATCCTCTCATGACCGTGATTCTTCATCTGCATCCTGGGCGGGGACACTCTCTCCCTGGAGCACAATGACTCAGATACCGTCTTGGTCCTCCTGGGACACGAAGGTTGGATTGCTTGCGGGTCTCCTGAAGTCAGGGTAGGTCCAGTCATACACTCCAGGCCCCGGAACAATAGCTTCTACACGCACCAGTTACCAAGCCCAGTAACCATATACCTACAGCTCTGTACAGTTCTGTATCAGTGGCAGGGCTGTCCTCTCACTCACCTGCCCTCCCTCCCCCCTCCCAGCGCTGCCTGGACTGGAACCGTGACATCCTCAAGAAGGAGCTGGGGCTGACGGAGCAGGACATCATCGACCTGCCTGCTCTGTTCAAGATGGACGAGGACCGCCAGGCCATAGCCTACTTCCCAAACATGGTGAGGCGCTCGGGGCCCCAAACCCCACCCAGGCCAGTCAGGGGGCAGCCAGAGCCAGAAGGACCCCCGGGCTGAGGCCGTCCACCGGGAGGCCCAGGTCCCAGTCCTGGCTGAGCTGCTGTGTGGCCTCAGCACCCACCCCGGGCACTTGGCCTCTCTGGGCTCACTCCCTCTGAAGGGAGATAGGCTCGTCCTGGCTGCCTCACTGGGTCCTGGGGAATCCTCTACCTTAAACAGATAGGAAAGGGCTGTGTAAGTTAAAAAGGCCTTTAAGGAGCCCTAGACGGTGTGGCTCAGTGGATAGACCGTCGGCCTGTAGACCGAAGGGTCCCGTATTCAATTCCAGCCAAGGGCATGTACCTTGGATGCAGGCTCCTTCCCAGCCTGGGCCCTGGTGCAGGAGGCAACCAATTGATGTATTTCTCTCACATCAATGTTTCTCTCTGTCTTTCCCTCTCTCTTCTACTCTCTCTAAAAATCAATGGAAAAATATCCTCGGGTGAGGATTTTAAAAAAAAGAAGACCTTCATGGACAGGGGAATTTTATTATCATAGAGGAGAGTCTTCTATGAGATAGAAAGAGGTTCAAACACACACACATAGATACATGCACGCATTTACATCCATACATGCGTGTACACACAAATACACATATGCATTTACATGCACGTGCTGCTGCATACATATATTGCTATGTGCACAGGCATGTACATGCACCTACATACAGAAAAAAGCCTGCTTTTCCACTTCAGCTCTGCCATGTATGAGTTGCTTAGCCCCCTCTGTGCCTCAGTTTCCTCATCTGTAAAGTGGGGATAATTCACAAGACGTACTTCATAGAGTTGTTGGGAGGGTCCAGTGGGTTTAGAACAGGGCCGGGTGCATAGTAGGTGCTCACTAAACAGGAGCTGTTGCCCTGCCCTCCATCACAGGTGAACATGATTGTGCTCGACAAGGACCTGGGCATCCCCAAGCCGTTCGGGCCCCAGATCGAGGAGGTGTGCTGCCTGGAGACACACGTGCGCTCGCTGCTGGAGCCCCTGGGCCTCTGCTGCACCTTCGTGGACGACATTTCCGCCTACCACAAGTTCCTGGGAGAGATCCACTGTGGCACCAACGTCCGCAGGAAGCCCTTCGCCTTCAAGTGGTGGCACATGGTGCCCTGACCGGCAGCGGGCGCTGTGTGCCAGTCTCAGCCCACCAGGAAGCGGTGTTGCGGCTAGGCCGGCCCTGTGGTTCTCATGAGGGCAAGAAGCCCCTCAGCCATAAGCATCAAGAAACTTGGAAAAAGCAAAACAAAAAAGTTTATTACTTACAGGACCCTAGAAATTACACAGCACACCCTGGGGCCACATGGCCAAGGTCGTGGGGCGAGAGAGCGTACGGACCCTGGGGTTCTGCCTTTTATTTGGGGTCGAGGGTGGGGGCCTAGGGTTTCCCCAGGCTCACTCTTCATTGGCAAATTTAAAACATAAGAGGGGGATGTTAAAGCACAGAAGAGGAAAAGCCAGCTGCCCAAATGGTCAGTTATCAAAGTCAACCAAGATCTCTAAGAGAAAGGAGCCTCTAAGACAGTGGTTCTCAACCTTGGCTGCACATTAGAATCACCTGGGAATCTTTTTAAAATCCTGATTTCTGGGCCTCATCCTCCATAAAGTCTGTTTCTTTGTTATGGGGTGGGGCCACAACATTAGTAACAAAGAAACAGAATTTCCAGAGGATGAGGCCTAGAAATCAGGATTTTAAAAAGATCCCCAGGTGATTCTAACGTGCAGCCAAGGTTGAGAACCACTGCCCTAAGAGGTAGTGGCCGTGATGGGGCCGACAGGAAGATGATGTGTGAGAGCTGTCATGGAAGTGGCTGCCGCGGCAGTCAGCTTCAGCCAGGCTCCTGCATGGCAACCCAGAGAAAACCCCCCTGTCAGGGCCACACTACCCAGGGCTCGGCACTTTCCCTCACATCGCGAGTTCTCCCCCAGAGCTCCCCCTGCCGACCAGATCGAGTTCTCCCCCAGAGCTCCCCCTGCCCGACCAGACCCACTGGGAGGCCTGCAGGAATTGGGGAGGGATTTGGGGTGTCGGTGCCTTGCCCTCCCTCAGAAGCCCTCAGCGTCCACTGACGTCACCCCCAGGGAACCTCACTCTGTCCTTCCTGAAAACAGCCGGGCGTTTGGCCAGTATCGGTCCAGCCCTGACATGAAAAACAGAGCAAAGCCGCAGCTACCCAGATCCTTCCCCAGAGAAGCCTGGTCCCTTGTCCAAAACTGCGTGCAGGTGGAGGGAGGAGGTCCAGGGCTCACCGGTTCTCCTCGTGGCCACGCCCTGAAGTCAAGGTAAATGGCGTGGAAAGGGACCTGAAACCTGACCCACCTTAAGCTGCCATCATCATTTCAAATTCACCTGCCTCCGGGTTCCAGGTGGCGACCCCAGTATTCATTCCTCACCAGCCTCTCCCACACCCCCTTGGCTTTCTCCCTACCTTGGCCTCCCCCTTCCCCGAGGGTCCAAAATGCCGTTAGAACCTTCCCTGGAGCAGATTCTAGCCGAGCAGCCTTCTCCACTCCCCAGAGGCTCCTTCTGCCTCCCAGATGCTTGGGGCTTCTCCCCAGACAGGCCTCCCTGTGGCCGGAGAGTTCAGTGTGTCCAAGGCCCTGGGGTCTGCCACACCCACCTTCTCTTGCCTGGTTCTCAATTCTAGGGCCAGTCCCTGGCCTCCCTCCTCTCACAGGTGCCTCTACTTCTTTATCATTCAAACCTTCCCCCGGGGTATAATGAAACACCTGCCCCTCCTCCCCAGTCATCAGACCCAACACACAGGGACCCTGGCCCAGCCTCCAGCCAGGAGAGCCAGTTCTGGGCCAGCTGCTGGCCTTGGGGATGGCTTGATCCTCCCATTGAAGTTCACCAGAGCATGTGCTGCAGACCTTCTTGTGTGGACATAACCAGGTTAGTTCTCTGACTCCCACTGACAAGACTCAGCTGCAACTAAAAAAAGTTTCTTTAGGCTGGCTGATGGCAGGAGAATACATGAATTATAGTTCCACACTGAGGGTTAAAACGAACCAATTTATAACCGATGAAAAGATTATAAATGTGTAGTCTTGGGAGAAAAGTTTTTTCTTCCTGGGTTATGTCATTCCGTCGTTCAATAAACATTTGTTGTGGGCCTACTAAGTGCCGGGCACAGTGCTGGGTCCTGAGGCTACAGGGGTTAGTAGCAAACTGGACGTGGTCCCTGCCTCATGGAGCCATCAGCACGCCCACCTTTTAAAAAGCCAGCATTTGCCCCTTCCGTGATGTGCTCTTTAGAAATGCCAGGCTGCTGTATTCAGGAAATGCACTGGGCACACAGCTTCCCGCAAGTCAGTGTCTCAGAGAAATAAAAGGCTAGCGGGTGGGGGGATGGGGGGGGTCCGTCTTCATGACACAGACCTCCTTCCTGTCCAGCTGGGCCAGGACCACCTGAAATATGAGACCCCAGAGCCTTCAGAAGCAGATGTGTCCCTGTGGGGACAGGGGCCCCTGTCTTTGGGGGACAAAGCCCCAGACCTTCACTCCAACCCCAGAGCTGAAGACACCAAGTGCCTAAGGGAGGGTGTTTTTCTGGAGACTAAGTTTGTTGTGTGTGTGTGTTGGGTTAATGTGGGTTTTCGGGCTCGCTTTCATTTTTTTCTAGTCTATCTTAAGGGGAAGTAAGTGCTTCCCATGTAGAGACAGTGTGTGTGTGTGTAGGTTTTTCTAAAGCTCTCCCCGTCGATAAGTCAGTAATTCCTGATGATCCTGGAACCCTCAGGACTCAGGCACCTGTTCCCATCTTGCTTGCCCACCTGTGTGACAACCCTGGGTGTGGACACTCCCTCTCCCCCCGCCCCGTGGACTCATTGCTCTTTCCCACCCCCACTTCCTATAAATTGTAAGCCTAGAATATACTTCTGTGTTGCAAATCTCAGCAGAGTTCCTGTTTCGATCCTTATTTTGAAAGACTTTATGTAAGAGGGCAGGGGTGTTGTCAAGATGGCACAGTTTCAACTTTCTGGACAAGAGGCCATGATGGAGATCAAAAGATGTGGGGGAAGAGCCTGATGAAACCGCAATAAAATAAACGTGAGAGGGGAAGTCACGTGGCTGTTGGTGTGATGTTCATTGCTGCCTCCTGGACATGACCTGGAGGCATGCAGACCACATGGCCCCGCTTCTGGTCCTCCAGCCCCTGCTCTTCTTCTGGGCACAGGGTCGGGGCCTCTCAGCAGGGGAACCCCAAGGGTTTGGAATCCCCACACACTCAGTGGATGTGTATGACATGGCCACCACCCAAGGTCAAGACCAATACCCACAATAAAGTCTGACTGTTTTCCTGGTGGGGTTCCCCAGAAGCAGACCCTGAGATGAGCAGGTGAGAACCAGTGATTTATTAAGGAAGTGCCTCTAGGAGAAGCCAGGAAGGGAGAGAAGAGAGCAGGAAGGAGAAAGAGAAGAAGCCAAACAAGAGTGTGGTTGCAGCTGCAGCCTCAGCCTGCTCACGGGGGAGTCTGTGTGGCATCTGAGTTCCTGCATCTGCAGATGGAGTGTTGTGCACCCGCACCAGTCAATCATTGGCTATGAGAATAGTGGCCCTCGGAATGGGTACAAGGGCACTAGTAACCCATGGACAGTCATCTAAAGAGGATCGTAGCTGTAGTTTTTAGCAGCAAAGTCACAGGAACTGGGGATGAGCTCCCAGAACCAGAAAAGGATCTGGGCAGGGCACCAATAGTGTCCACTGCTCTGGGGAGTACCATGTTCTCACAATATGGAATTGTTACACATAGGTGTTTGTGACTTAACCCGTGGTATAAAAATCCATACAATAGAGCCATGGTCTAACAGGGTCTTTGAGGCCTAAAGTCGCTTGCTGAGCCTAGAAGCCACTTCCAAACTCTTTGGGGTACACCTGGGGGCTTCTTAACCCTTAGTCCCATCTTGGGCTTCTGGATTGATGTTTTGGTGCAGCCATTTTAAGGGGCCACTGCAAAACAAAAATCACTAGTTCTCTTACTTTCAGACTTAACTCATAGGCCCAGCCCTCTGATGTAATTCTTCTCTTTTATACCCAACTCATGTGGCCCAAGCCACAGCGAGGCCAATCTTCAAGGGGTTTTCCTGACCCACCTACTTCTGAGACTCCCCAAGGGATGCTGGTGTGCTAAAGACATCCTGGTGGTGTTTTCACATTTGGCCACTCACTCGCCTCAGGATAGGTGAAAAGTCACCCAGAGACTCCTAGAATAGTACTTCCCAATAGGAATATAATGCGAGCCATGTAGGTCATTTTACATTTCCTAGTAGCCACGGTGTCCAAAGTAAAAAACTGGTGATATTGATTTTAATAATATGGTTTATTTAACCCATCATATCCAGATTACTGCCATTTCAACATATTATAAAACTTCACAATACTAATAAAATAGTTACATTCTTTTTTGGTAGAAAGTCTTTGAAAGCTGATATACACTTTACACTTACATCTCTATTCAGACTAGTCAGATTTTGAGTGCTCAATAGCCACAAGTGGCTACATACTGGAAGCCTCTCTGCCAGGCTGAGCCCCAGGTGTAGAAATAGGCACATTTCTTTTCTTTTCTTTTTAATATATTTTTATTGACTTCAGAGAGGAAGGAAGAGGGAGAGAGAGGTAGAAAGATCAATGATGAGAGAGAATCATTGATCAGCTGCTTCCTGCACATCCCCCCCTGAGGATCGAACCCACAACCCGGGCCTGTGCCCTTGACCAGAATCGAACCTGGGACCCTTCAGTCCACAGGCCGACACTCTATTCACCAAGCCAAACTGGCTAGGGCAGCACATTTCTTAAATCCCCAGAGTCCAGCTAGTCTGGCTGACATGCCTAACAAAAGTTTAGCGTTGTAATACCAAAAGGAGAAGTCTAAAGCAAACACGGGTCCTCTCTGCCCCAGTATGCAGAGCCCCGCCCCTCCAGAGGGTCCTCTCGCCTGAACCATGGCTGCCGCTTTGTTACCAGGTCTGGCTTGCTTTTCAGCGAGGGGAGTGCCCTTGGCCAGGTCAAAATGGGAACCCCACCAGCCCCATGGAAAGGACAAGCATAACTCCCTCACCTCTAGCCTCCTTCCCTTCACCATTCCCTGGGACACAACTTGATTCTGCATTTTAATGTAAGATGGGGTCCCATGTGAAGGAAGTTGAGTCCTCATTATCCCAGCCCCTTCATTCCAGCTCTGAGCCATACTATGACACAGCCAAAAGCCTGTGGAAGTGGGGTTCTCCCCTTCCCCCCCCCAAACAAAAGAGCAACCAGGGATGAATTCTGCCTCCCCAGGGGGACTTATCCAGGATCCTCACCCAAGTGGCATTAGGTCCCAGGGGCTGGTGGCAATGTTATTTGTAACTAAATATAGTAAGTGACACCAAAGGACAGCTTGCGGACTCTCTTCTCCAGATGGACAAGCAGATAAGGACATGCTCAGGCAGAAAGCTCAGCTGGGAAGCCTTGTCCCCTGCCTGGCTGAAGGGAGAAGCCACCCCCTGGCCAGCTGGTCTCCTTTTCAGCCCTGTTCTCTAA